CTTAAATTAAACGGATCCTAATGTAGAACATCTAATACCTTTGAATTAGAATGAGGTTCATAAAGATAACACAAAGATACTTCATTGATGTAATACTCAATCCGCTATTGAAATAAAATGCAATAACAAATATTGTTTGCGTTTGCCTTCTTTCTTATCTAGTCTGCTGTCGATCGTCGAATTGTAGGTCCCGCAGTGTTTTCATATCGTGTCAGCATGCGAGATCCAGTTAACAAAGTCCAGAGGCTGTCCTGGCTGCTTCTTTAAAGAGTTCTGGTTATCGGTTAAAATCGTTAAAATCGAGCCTGTATTAAAGGTGAAAATAATGCATATCCTCAATTTTTAGATCTTGGTAAAGCTACATTTAAGGAGACGGGATCTTGATCGCGTTTCCCGGAAAAAAAAGGTCATTTCACAATTCACAGAATAAAAGGCGTTTCACGTTTCACGAAAATAAGAGATATATTTTTGTCACACGAGCTTACAAGACTAAAGATATTTTGAAATTTTTTGTCCAACGGTTAAGTTCAGCCTTGTTTGGCATATTCTCTATTTTCCAATTGCCCATAATTCACTCTGTTTGCCCCCCCGAATTTTGCACAGACTATTGTTGTAAAGTGCTCTTGGGAATATGCAGACCTCCCAAAAGCATTTCACAACAATATTTATACAAAATTTGGGGGCAAACAAAGTTAATTATTGGTAATTGAAAAATAGAGAATAGACCAATTTCGATATATTAAAATTCAGGCTAAAACAATAGACTTCAGTACGAGGCTCTGGGGAATAACTACAGAGTTTGTGGGGTTTATTCCCCAGAGCCTCGAGCTGAGGTCTATTGTGTTAGGCTGAATTTTAATATATCGAAATTGGTCTATTCGCCATTCCAGCGCGTCTTTTCTAGACACCCAGCACGGAAGAGAAAACTGCGTTGCACTTAAGACCAATGGCTGATGCATTGGGATCAAAACGGATTGGTTGTCACTGAGCGGGTATGCATGACATCAACTAATAACGGACTCGAAAATAATAGTAGGTACAATCAAAATAACGTTTCACGACGAATTAAATACCCGGCAAGTAGGCCCTATAAGATTGCAGTTAAACCGCCATCGTTTGATTCCGAAACTGAACAATTCTACAGGTGAATCACAAAAAGTCCTGCATTAACATTATTGGAGCTCCTCAAGCGGGATGAAATCATTTTATAACTCCTCCATTTATCGTCAAACGAAACAATTCTACTGATGTGTGAAACTTAAACATAGTGCGTCATCTAAGAGATGAACCGGAAACTAATGCCATCCTGATTTAACTTGATAAATACCTACAAAAACATGTGAAGCAAGACAACCAAATAGATAATTTATCTGTCATAAAGTAACCCTCAGTACAGTGTGTTGAATTCACTTCTTCTGTCATGATGGGGTGGGACTTTTAAAGATTCAAAGATCACANGGGAATAACTACAGAGTTTGTGGGGTTTATTCCCCAGAGCCTCGAGCTGAGGTCTATTGTGTTAGGCTGAATTTTAATATATCGAAATTGGTCTATTTCTTGTCATAATATTGATACTTAATCAAGAAGACAGGTGATGGGAAGAACGAAGATCATCAAATGTTGTATGATAAAATTCTCAGAAGTAAACACGAAACAAATGTACGGTAATCAATATGGACGATTTACATTCTGAACTTTTAAATTATTTTAATTCGCTAAGTTAAAGTGGACAACAAATAACCGACTCACCCAAAGCAGAATGCGTGTTTGACCTAGCGAAGTAAAGCTGGGCGTTCAGTTGATCATCTTTGCACTTGACATCAATGACTTGAGTGAACAAACTTAACGCATTTTGGAATTCTCCTTTGTCGTACTCGACTTCTCCTAGCTCTTTGTAAACTTGTGCTGTTTCTGTGGGGACAGAACGAATCACTAAATGAACTAAACCAATCACAATAATGTTGGCACAACAGTTAGCCAATATTAACATGGACGAAATCACCTGAGCGGAGCAAAGTGCGAGAAAACGTCGCGACGATTAGTTTTGGATCTGATTGGTCAAACAAACGCGTGACGCCCCTTTTGCCAAACCAATCACAGAGTGTAGTCAAGCAAAGACAAAATTGTTACCACACTGTAATTCATTTCTTCAGCTAGGATTGATAACCAGTGTGGTCTCCTTGGATTCTACGTACGTTGCTGTAGAACCTCGGACTGTTATGTTTATTCTTACGTTAGTCTATACCAGTCGCCAGAAAATTTCGGTTATTCCGAACAGGACAGAAAAAAAAAAAGGAATCCAAATGACCTGGATACCAAAAACCGCAATCAGTAAAATAAAATTTTAATCTTACGCAATTGTGGGTATATATGGGCATCAGATTTCCTTACCTCTCAGAGTATCATCGTCAGATTCCATTTTTGGTATCAATGTCGCTTCATTATTTGTTGTGTCAACTGTTCCTAATAAAGGAAAACAAAACAAAAGTGTTTATAGCAAAAAGGGTAGTGAGACCGAGCAAGCAACGGAAACAAATAATTCAAATTAAACATAACATTGTTAAGAATCCCAACAATAAAGAAAACTTGCCGTGTAACTCGCGTAAGTACAACTGAGTTAGCGCGTATAGTAATTCGTTTTTG